AGAAGTATGGTGATCTATATGACATGTATACTTTTGCAATACCTTAAATTTTATGAAAACTTTTAATTGATTTTGACATCCTGTTTCTATCTATTTTGGTACAAAATACCACTTAGGTGATTTATTTTCCACAAATTAATTATAATACTTAAGCCAGCTATTTTGTTTGATACCTGAACCTTTAAGTTACATGTTAGTGAAATACTTTCTGGTGTCGTTTTAAATTGAATATGCTTGAATATATATTAATGAAGATACAATCTGGTCAACAAATTACAGCTATAAACTATCCTAAAATTATTTAATTTTCTATCACTTTTGTAATGGTTGGTCATATTGTAACTGCTCAAATAAAAAATAGCAAAATATAAAAAAGACAGGGCAAATTTTAAATCTCAGAAACTAGGTAACAGTAAAGGGACTTACAAACTTACAACAAGTAAAAGATAAATCTTAATAAAATAGATAGCTTAACAAAACTTTGATAACAGATTAATAGCGGAGAAAAACCTCCTCCGATTATCTTGGGACGCCAAAGAGGTTGTACTTCTTCTCCCAACGAGTTCTTTCGATTTTTTTTTTTTTTAAACTCATAGATTTTGAATAGTAGTATTTAGTTTAATGTTTGTTCCATTACTTGTCAGTTTTTTTATAATTTCGTTTCCCATTTTCTTGATGAACGCTAGATAATGAACAATGACAATTAATTATATTCGAATTCCATCTACAATTTTTAAAAAAAATACTTTAGTTTCGTATGCCAGATTAATTAAAAAAATCATAAAATGTATTCACATATCATGATCGACTAGTGACAAATTCTTTTATGTTACCTATTTCTAAATTTCTTCAATCCATACTCATATAAAATGTCTATTTTCTTAGCTTTTCATCGGAATGAGATAAATAACATCGCAATTTTTATAGGAAATCTGAGGTTATGATCGTATATTATAACCGTATTATTATTTCCAGCATGCTATCCCATTTTCATCATACAAAAGATGTCAATTAGATATCCGATTCAAGACATCTCATTTAAGAGATCTTATAGAGACGTATAAAAACATATCTAGAAATGGTCATCTATAAGATATATTTTTTTAAGATAACTTAAAGATAATTAAAAAAGATATCTTTCAAGATATTATAGATTTCTTTCAGATATTGATGCTATGTCGGGAGTAAATGAAACCAATGAAAAATCCGACTACCAGACCATGTTAGCTCTTATTTATGGTGACAAATCGATCTTTTTTTAAAATATCATCAAGCTAAAAATCAGTTGTAAGGAAAAGGTTCAGAGAGGTTTATTAATCCACAAAGTTGTCTGCTTCACGGGAGTTTATTTCATGTACGAAAATTGAAAGTAGAAAATTATAGGAAAGTTTCGTCAAAATCGTTAGAGCCGTTTTCGTGCTAATCTATAGAAAAACGGGTTTCACTTATTTCACAGGGAGGGCCCAATTTGGATCACTGTTATCTTTAGTCAAAATCCTATAAAACAAAATAAAGAAACAATGAAGTGGCCGATTTTTAAATTAAACTCCATTATTTTTAAGCTTAGAAATATCACACAATACAAAAAAACTTCGATTTTTTCTGAAGCTTCTTTTAGATTTTTTATCTTTTAATTTAATTTTTTTTTTTATTTTTTGGAATATATGTTTTAAATAAGAAAATACGTGTTGTTTTTATAATAGGAAACAAAACAATTTTATTCGATTACATAATTATTTTAAAAAATAGGTTTGATTAATGGCGATCTAAAAAAAAAATGATTTATTGTTGATAATTTTATATGGTATACATTTATATATTTATGATATTGTTATTAATGTTACAGATGTTATTATTGAATTAAAATATGCGAAATCTTTCGAAAACAAAAATGGTGGAAAAATAAAATAAAGTTTTCGTGAAGTACTAAGGGTTATTAAATGTTTTCTTCGAAATAATAAAATTACAATAAAAACTATATATAATAGAAAGGGTGACAAAACTACGCAAAATATCATATTTTTTCATGGCTATAACATTCAAGTAACTGGTTCAATAAAGAAGCAGTAATGTGGCCGAATCAGGCAGATAACTCAATTATATTCTCTCAATATTTCAATCTCTCAATATAATTATAATTGAAGCGATTCAATTAGTAGAGCCACTACTCAGTTAAAGATATAGGCTCTTTGACTTGGTTCTAAAATCAGCAATTCCGGATATCTAATTACAGTTCAACTTCCTGTATATCCAAAAATATCCAGATATAGAAAGATTGTGATTTTTCACCCTTGTCATACTAAAAATTACTTGTGGGAGCAAGGAGAAATTCGGGATAAAGACCCTCCTCCCCCCAAAAAATAAAGTTTTTCAATAGGTCCTTATTTTTTTATATGAATAATCTGTGCCAAATACTTAAACAATCGAAATATATAATGATAACAAGAAAAGGCTTGGCGAACCCGAACGTTCAATGCCTTCACCACCAAGTCCGTTTCTAGAAAAATATATAAAAAAGTTATTGCTAAAAGCATTAGGTATTGTTCCTAATTAATATTCCATGGTGCAGACTCCCTTTTTATCAAATTATTAATATCCGCCTGAAACTTGGTAAATAGTTTCATCTTATTGTAACCAACAAATATTTTATTTACGAAAATTATCGGAAATGGGGAGTTTTCAATCTGGAGATCGGCAAATTTTATCTATTTAATTAGGTAATAAAAACTCATAAATACCCAATGGTTTCCCACTTGAATCGTAACATAATTTGAGTACAAAGCCGAGAAAAAAATTGGCCTTAAAAAATTTGAGCCGTTTAGCGTCGTGACCTACACTCCCAAACTGAAAATAACGAGGTTATATAGGTCAAACGTGCCAATATTTTTGTAGGCCACCTTTTTTTTTTTTTATCGATTTTATGATCAAATTATCTCACGATCTAAATGGAAAGCAAATAAGTATTTATGAATTTTTATTACCTAAAATAAGTTTGTCGACCTACATATTGAAAACGCCACAATTCCAATAATTTTTGTAAATAAAATATTTGTAAGTTACGATGAGATGAAGCTACTCACGAAGTTTCAGGAGGATGTTAATAATTTGATAAAAAGGTGTCTGTACCACGGACTATGACTTTTTTTATTTTTAATATCATTTTTTAAAACCACTCTAACATTTTATATATTGCCTCTCTTTTTCTTTCAGAGTAATTAAAATTATGACTATAACTATTCTATTTACAATATCTTAATTTTACTATTTATTTTTATTTCTTATATGACTTCATATTCCTTTTCTCTGTTTTACGTTTTATTCTAAGATTACCAATTTAGTACTTATGTCACCTAATTTTGATTATGTTTACTTCATTATCCCACACTTTGTAACGGTTCATACCCACTTCATTTTACTTCAATATTTTTGCCTACATTGTTTATGATTCTCATACCTTGTTATCTGATTCTTTTCTTAGCCCTGATGAAGGCCATTACTTCATGTTGAAACGTCAGCAAATGTTAAAATAAATATTATTATTTATTTTTTCCTTTTTATTTCTGACTGATCACCCTAACCACCCTTCTCTTCATTAAACATTTTATACATAGCTTTTCTTTTTCTTTCAGTGTACTTACAATTGTATTAAAAAAAGAAATCTCTCCTCATAAAAACGAATCGGAATCCGATACTAATAAGAAATACCATATTTTTTATGGTTGAAAAGTATTAAAGACAATTTTGATGGTACATTTATTCAGTAGCAGATTTAGGGTTTAATTTTGAGAGGGGGTTAATGACAATGATAAATATTCCGAAAGAAATAACATATTATAAAAACCGATGTTTAAGATTCACTGGCAGATCTAGGAGAAGGAGGGGGGAGCTTTTGGGCTGAATCCCCTCCAATATAGTAAAATGTAATCTTGTTTTATGGTAAAAAATTATCTCTTAAAGTATTATTGTTCGTGTAATTACATTTAATAGGACTTCAAGAATCACATAAAAACTATTTCATATATAAAACTAGATCTATCTATGTTTTTTATAGAGTAGTTATCCTTATATATATGAAAATAAAAGTTTTCGGGCTGAACCCTCCCCCTCCCCAAAAAAAAAAAAAAAATGATTACATATATAATAATGTTTTTGGGGATTAATATTTTATAAATATTTTCTTGATACATGCTTATATATCTAGTATCTGTATACATGTAATAATTTTAAAGTGGTATCTACATATCACTACTGTTAGTCATAGTCCCAGATTTCCGAGGGGTTGGGGCGGCGAGAGGGGCCATCCCTCCCTCAAAAATAAAATCTAAACCAATAACAATTAATGTACATAAATGAATAAAATATGTAAAGTAAAATAAATTAAGAAAACAGGAAAAGCAGACTAGATGGCTAAGCTAAGGGCTAGAAGTAGATAGCAAGTATTTTACCTCGCCCATGTTCCTATTATTGAAATTTTATTTTATAGTCAAAGATAAATTATTAACATACCCTAAGATTTTATGATTCATTCATTTGCACCCTTCAATTTTTACCAGATGGGTTTTATCACTTTTTCCGTGGCAAATTTGAAGCATAGAATTGAGAGTTCATCTCTCTACCTCAAATGTTTCAATAAATACAAATAAAAACATTTAATATATTCAGTTGGTTTGTTAACATATTTTCAAATATATTCCAACATTTATTTTTATATAGTAGTATATCGTCCCTTTTACAATAATTGTGTTGATTATGTTAATTACCATCACTCACAATTTTTAAACATATTATAAATGCCTTAGATTTTTTTTCATACTTTTCACGTTAGTCAAATAAATTTAATATTTACTAACATCTATATTATGGTCAGGGATGTCTAGAAGGGAGTTTGATGGCGCAAGTTGTGCCAGAGAATAAGGAGGTTAATGGAGTTTTAATATTCTATTGCTCACGTGGTCACTGTGGATGTGTAGCATGGCTAAATTAGGTAAATTAAGAAAACATTTTTTAACATATTTTTTTAAAATTTATTTTTATGTATATTGTTACATGAAAATTAATTGTTTCTTTGGTGTAATGAATGATAAAGATCCATTTTCTTTTCAGATTATGATAGAATTTTCATAATTTAGTGTTGATTTTTAAATGAATGAGGTTAATTAAATAAAAATATTTTTCTTTTGTTTTTTTTATTTCGAAATGCGTGATATTGTGATTTTATTATTTACATTGTTATTCATGAGCATGTACCTGTTTTGAACTTCTTCACGCGTTGTCGCTGTACTGAGGAGGTATCTGGTTTACAAGCCATTCTTTGACAGAAATGCTCCTGTTGATGAGTACAAGTTACCTGCTGGACGGTTGGTTTCCTCATAGATCTACAGGAGACAGGACCAACTTCCAACAGAAAAAAGGTAAATGAAAAGAATGACATACAGGCAGAAATAAAGTCATGCATGACGGCCAGAAATAGATGTTGCTGGGCGCTCGGAAATGTACTCAGGTCAAAGGTGTTGCCCTGGCAGTTAAAGAAGGCCGTATACGTTTGCGTTATTAGACCAATGGTGACGTATGGAAGTGAGAAATGGGCCCTTACCAGGAAGTCAGAACAAGTGCTCAACGTGTGGGTGAGAAAGTTCCTAAGAAGGATTTTTGTCCCCTTGAAAGAGGGAGATCAGTGGGGGCAGAGAAACAATCAGGAGTTTAAAAACTTAATACTTTGATTTCTTTAATCTTATTTCCCTTATTTTAAAGATAAAAAACATCTAAGCATGAAATATCTTTATTTTTTAAGGATTTTCAGAAATTTACTTCCCTACTCTTTAAACAATTAAACTATCAAGGGCCAATATATTAATGTTTTTCTAATTACTATTTTGCTATGTTAAAAAAAAAATGAAACAATATATATAAGTGGCTATGTGGGTTCTAAAAGCCAACAAACCTAAACGTAGTGTGTTGAAATCCGCCCCTGGGATTTTACAGGTAATTATCAATCAATTAATTTTTTTTTTATAAATCTTATTTTATTGAGAAATAATTAATTTTGCCTCAATTAAGGGCATTGAGTTTAGAGCTGTGTGAGACTCATTCATACCATATATACAATAACAAAAACAATAGAAAAATTATAACAAAAGAAATGAAACGAGACAATATTAAACAAAAATATAAAAAAAAAAAAAAAAACATTCATACTTATTAACAATATTTACAGTCAGCCAAGGGAGCTCCCCCTTTTTCCCTTGTGAAGGATAAGGCAAGACTCTAAGAGATTGCAGTGCTTCTCTCTCAGCCACATCACTGGGATGGGAATCCAGTGGAGACTGAGAGAGGGTACTAAAGCCCCTACGCTCATGACTTGAATGGAGAAGCTAGCCATTGCCAGGACTCCTATGAAGTATTTACAAAAGATCTTGATGCCACTGCCATTTCAACCTTCGAGGAGGATTGTAAGCTCTTCCGTGGGAGAAAGAGCCCAACTTGGACAAATCGTCTGTTAAGTTCTTGTATTTTAAGTCTAGTATGGGGGTTCCATGTTTTTCTTTTGCCTAAAAGGATTCCAAAATACCGAACTGTGTCTGAGAGAACTGTGCTTGCATTTGTTCTGTTGATTTTGATGCGCCAATTGGTGCACCACCACTCAATTAATTAAAATTAAAAAAAAGGAAATACTTTAACAATCTGCAATGTCCTTGTCCCTCGGGTGTGTGAGACCTGTCAGCCTACTGCAAGAAACTCACACAGACCAAATTAAACTTGCCATTGTACTTTTATTAGGAACCGCGATGGGGATTCTCAGAACTCAGTCCCAGTAGATGCTCAATTTTATAGTCATTTTTTGAAGTTTTCATATTGGTAAAAATGTAGTTTAAATAATTACATCCTTGAAAACTAGTGATGTGTAAATAATTTTAATTTATAACTATTTATATTTTCACTAACCAAATAAATAGTTATAATTTTAAGAATATTAGAAATTATACATCCATTGTTAATGCTAATTTTCTTTTAATTAATATATTAAATTTTAGAACTTGAAAAAATAATGGAAATTTAAAGCATATTAGCAACTATAAACATACAAAACACGTTTATTTTCTTCTAATTAGTGTTTGTATTTTTTAAAATAATTGAGAGTAAAAAAATAAATAAAATTGTAGGTTATTCATTTCAATATTTTATACAAACAGCATAAATTTGAATGATTCTTCATTTGTAGGCTAAAATTTTCATTATTTTTATAGCCTAAAAAATGTGCAGTCCATAGTTCCACTCTATTATATTTACATGACCACGATTATTTCGAATGATTGGATTTTGGTGTACCATGATAGATTTTGACTTATAAAATCTTTTGCACTACTCCACCAAATCCACATAAGATTGCAGTTGTGATTTCTATTTAGGATAGAGTGGTTAAATTGGATCGATCGTCAGTTATCTTATCAACTGTATGATGGTTCACTAAATGTCTTTTTAACACACTATTTGTTACAGTTTTATACTCACAATGAGGACAATGATGAGAATTCTCACTAGTATGACGATATGTTATATGTTTTTTTAATACATGACTTGTTGCAGTTTTATATTCACAATGAGGGCATTGATAAGGTTTCTCACCAGTATGGCAGTATATAATATGTTTTTTTAAGTGACTAGCTTTTGCGGCTTTGTATTCACAATGGGAACATTGAAAAAGATTTTCAGCTATATGACCGGCCTTTATATGCTTTTTTAAATCATAACTAGTTACACTTTTAAAATCACAATAAGGACACTGATAAGGCTTGTCACCTGTATGATAGCGCTTAACATGTTTTTTTAATGCAGCACTTGTTATGGATTTATACTCACAGTAAGAACATTGAAAAGATTTCTCTGTGGTATGACGGGCCGTTATGTGTTTTTTTAATTCATTACTTGTTACAGTTTTATATTCACAGTGAGCACATTGATGAGGCTTTTCACCAGTATGGCGGTACATTATATGTTTTTTTAATATATCACCTTTTACCGTTTTATAGTCACAATGAGGGCACTGATAAGGCTTTTCACCATAATGGTGATCTATATGTATTTTTAATTCATCACTAGTTATGGTTCTATAATCACAGAAAAAACATTGATAAGGTTTCTCAGCTGTATGATGGGTCATTACATGTTTTTTTAATTCACTACTTGTTAAGGTTTTATATTCACAATGAGGACATTGTTGAGGCTTCTCACCAGTATGGCGATTCATTATATGTTTTTTTAATACATGACTCGTTGCAGTTTTATATTCACAATGAGGACATTGATATGGTTTGTCACCAGTATGGCAGTATATAATATGTTTTTTTAAGTTATTTATTTGTGCTGCTTTGTAGTCACAGTGAGAACATTGAAAAGGATTCTCAGCTGTATGAGTGGCTTTGATATGCTTTTTTAAATCATAACTTGTTACACTTTTATAATCACAATAAGGACATTGATAAGGCTTCTGACCAGTATGGTAGCACTTAACATGTTTTTTCAATGCACCGATTGTAACCGATTTGTACTCACAATGAGGACATTGATAAGGCTTCTCTCCTGTATTATGGGACATTATATGTCTCTTCAAATTAGAACCATTATTTGATTTGTAATCACAATAACGACAAGAATAACGTTTTTCACCTGAATGAAGATTCCTAATATGTAATTTTAAATCTATACTTTTAACAGCTTTATATTCACAATGAGAACATTGATAATTTTTCTCAGTCGTGTGGCGAGCCATTACATGTTTTTTTAATTCATTACTTGTTATGGTTTTATATTTACAATGAGAACATTGATAAGGCTTCACTTCTCCATGATGATAAATATGTTCTTTTGAATCAATCTTTAACTCAGCTTTTAAATAAGATTTATTGATGTCTTCTATCTCATTAATGGAATCCTCTGCGCCTACAAGCAATAAATAATATTATTAAAAAAAAAAATAGAATCACAAAAAATTACAAACATTTATTAAAATAATGAAACACTGCACTAAACATTTTACATAATTTGGCAGCTAGGAGATGATTTTAGTTATTGCAACATAACTAATATTACTTAGGTCAAAAAAAGATACTCGGTCAATCTGGGCTTTTCCTGAGAGTCCCCATAATAAATATCAAATATTGATATATGATACTTATGAATATCATAGGCTAATGTACTGGGTCTATAAATAAGAAAAAAATATTTTTTCAGGAAATAATTAGTATGAACTCTGAATTACCATCCATCATTTTGTTTCAAAATTGATTGGACGTTTCTTATAACATTAGTTGATAAAAACATTTTTTTTTTAATATGAAATTGTTATATTTTGACCTTTCTTTTGAATAATAATATATATTTTATAAGATTTTAGAAATAATAAATTTACATTGACTGAACTAATGAATAAGATTATATAGAATGTAAGCCAACACTGTAATTTGCAAAGCCTAAAAAATTTGTTGATCACTTTCAGTGGTCAGAAAGTTATGGGATCGGTCCTAACGTTTTCAAGAAATATACTATTTCTAAAAATAAATAAATCTGAATCGCAACACCTTTTAATACTGCACATCAGTCTGAATAAAATATTTAAAGTTAACAAATTGTTGGATCTCTGAACCAGGCGTAAAATCCAAATAACTGTTACACAGCATGATCACACAAAATTTAATATTTATTTATGAATAAATGTTTCTCACCATCATCTGAGATAAGTGTTTCTCCTTCATGTTTCACATAGGTAAGTCCACCTGGTGGGTTATAAAAAATATTTTATAAAATATAATCAAAAGAAAAAACTTAATATACATTTAAAGAATTTAATATTAAATAATAAATTAAAATAAAAAAACATGTCAGCTCAGTTAAGTAATGAGAAGTAAAAAATTATTTTTCCTGAATTATTACAGAATTGCTATAAAATAATTAAAGAAAACAAACATAAAATTTGATTCACCATAATAGATATGTGGTTCTTCTTCCTCTTGTTTGAAATTACTCATGTGATCTGAAACAAATCCAATAACCACTGAATTATCAATAACCACCAGGTATTATTAAATAATAAATTTATTGAATTGACAAATGTTTATACCGTTAAAGTTTAATTGGAATATTTACTTAATATATTTTTGTAAGTGAAATTGTTTTTCTTTTTAGTGTTTCTTGTGTACCATTTAGAAGTCAGTTTTTATTTTTTAATAAAATGTGTTTTCATTTCTTCACTAATCCAATATTATATCTCAAACAACTTCTTTCATTAATAGTTAAATGTTACCTTTTGACAATACTTAAAATAGGGTATTTTTTATTTAAGTATCACCAGTCAATTTTAGTAAAATAACATTTATCATTTAGAATTCATATGCCATAAAAGAATAAATGTTTTATTGAAAATTAACATTAAACAATAGATAAACACAAAATAGGTTAACTTTGAGAATAATATATATTTAACAATATTAATCTTCAGCCAAAAGTTCCTCATGGCCTGAAATATTTCATGTAACATCCTCGGGAACATTTCCATTCTTTATTCCTGTTTATTTAATTTATGTAATATTCCTATCTTCATCCTCATTTTGATGCCTTTCATTTGTAATAAAAAAATGTTATTTTATTTTTAAAAGGTCATTTTTATTTAAATTTTACACTCTCAATAAAACATGAGTACAACTGGAATAATTATATAGAACATGTTTATTTGACAAATCTGTAACAGTTCTGAATAGATGACAAAAAAGTGACTGCTGATATTTAAGTAAAAAAACCAAAAACAGCCCCACTGAAACCCAAGAAGGGTCTTGGTTTCAATATTCTGTAAAGAAGAACTGTTTCTAGGCCAATGATTATGCAAGAAGGTGATTTGGCAAGTAACATGCTCAACTGCAAGACTTTTGTTTACTAATTAAGAGTTTTATGTATGCAGGGTGTGACCCGGGGGGAAAATAATTACCAGATATAATTATTTATGTCAGTGAATTCATTTTACAAATAAAAGGCTCGCATCAGTGTAGGCACATGCATAAAATTTTGAGTGTTTGTTTTTCTTCTGATTTTGTTCAAAGTTCGGGATTTGTTGGTTTGATCAGCAGAAATATATGGACCCAATGTAGATGTAGCCTAAAATGTAACAAACACAGGTGGGAATTTTTGATTTAGGGAAAAAATTATTTTTAAATTCCTGCAATTCACTTCTTTCAAAAGCAAAGAGAGAAAGCAAGAGAGAAAAAAATAGAATAATATAATGTAATATATTCTAACAGAACTATTCTTCTTTTGTCGTTTAAAAAATTGTTAAAAGAAATATTAGATTTTATAGTTATTTTAGTATTATATACTATCGGGGTGTGGTTAACATATTAAACCAGAAACTAAAAAAAACAGTAAAAAAAAAAAAAAAAAAATACAGTAAAAATAAATAATTATATTTATTTAATTTTTTTTTATTTAATAAATATAATTATTTATTTTTACTATTTTTTTTTTTTTACTGATCACCCCAACCATTCTTCTCTTCAATTAAAAATATTCAGGTATGGTGTATGGAAATTTTATGAAGACAGTTACAGGCTAAATAATATTCCTTTAAATAAAATCTCCAAACTTTTTAAAATAAAATTTCATGTTTAAATTTATAATTTTTGAGATACTCTTCTTCCTGGTCGAAGATATGATTCTTTTTCTGAGATTAAAAATTTAGCAATGTCAATCAAAATATTAAGAACAGTTAGAAGATGGAATCATAACATTTGCAACTTTTATAAAAATAAAACTTACAAGAAGTCTTACTTTCATCTTCAATTTCTTCTTTATTAGAAAAATTAGAGTCACCCATACCTGAAAAAAAAGTAAATAAATAGAAATAATCAGTTTATATAAAAACCTGTAAAATTGTAATATAAAATTTTTTTTAAAATATAAGACTTACAAGATACCTCTGTTTCATCTGTTTTTTCTTCTTTAATAAAAACAAATGAGTCATTAATACCTAGAAAAAAATAAAATAAAAACATTGTCAGTTTATATAGATACTAATTTATTTTATAATCACAAATTTAAACCTAATACTAAATATGCTTATTTCAATTTCATATAAAACAAAACTACAGTCCTTGGTACAGATCCCTTTATATCAAACTATTAAAATTCGCATGAAACTTGGTACAGAGCTTCATCTCATCGTACAACTATATTGGGGCGGTTTTAATCTGGAGATCGCCAAACTTTGTGTATTTAATTAGGCATTAAAACTCGTAAACACTCATTTGCTTTCCACTTCAATTGTAAGATAATTTGAGCACAAAATCGAGAAAAAAGGTGACCTTCAGAAATATTGAGCCGTGTGGCGTGACCTACACCATACAAAATAATGAGGTTATATAGGGTTGTTTATGAAATTTTTTTCAACTTATCTGTTAATAAGTTAAAAACTATGTAATACAGATACATTTAGCTTAATTAGTTTTATAGAACACCTGTTACATCAATACAATATAAAGCTAATAAGCAACCAAGAGGACAAGATTATTAGTTGAAATTTTTAGTGCTGGTAAGGAAAAAAATAAAAATGGTTATCTATACTACTAATACATTTTCCTATAATATGGGGCACTAATGAATTTGAAAGAATGATAACTTACGAGAAACCTCAGTTTCACATGTTTTCTCTTCTTTATTTGATTCAAAAGTGTCATTCATACCTAAAAAATAAGACATTAAAAGTAATATTATATGAAAATTATATTATATTCAAAAATTTAGAAAGTAAAACTAACAAGAAGATTCCATTTTATCTATATTCACTTCTTTAATAAAAATAAAAGAATCATCTAAAAAAATTAAATAAAATTAGCATAATCAATTTATGCCAAGGCATAAATATATAATATAGAAAAAATTGGAAAAAAGAAGTTGTACATTCATCAAACTTTGGTCATAAATTTGCCTTGGTAGTAAAAATCAAGATTTACAGAGTTAACCCATAGTTTCGGGTGATAACTCTTACTTGAGGGGGGGTTGGAAAATAATTTTCACAAATTAAATTGAGTAAGTTATCATATTTTTTAGATTTTTCGTTTCTGAATCAAATGATACCACTCCCATCACAATAAGAATCAATTTGTTCTAAATTAAAGTAGATTTTGGGTTAGTAATACACAAAAATTACTATATTTTTCTGAATGATGTTATACAAGAACATATTGACAAATAATTAGTAACGGTAAAAGTAACTAAATAATTGATTATCCAGAATGTGATTGATAGTAGCAAACACAAGATTTTTATTTCTACTATGCAACATATTTTGTATAGATTAATTTTGAAAATATTATGCCCTCCTTTGTTGCCTCTTCGAAATTTTGGCAGAATGTAAATCTCGATATTAACTATAAAATTATACATAACTATAAAACTATACAAATCTCGATATGAACTATGAAGATAAAATTATGACCAAAGTTTCATTAATATATAAATTTTGTCCTTATTTGGTCTGTTTAGGTTTATTTTTCCTGTTTTAATAGACATTTATTGCTATATTTAAGATGATTGAAAACAAAATACAGTAAAGCTTTAATTTTTTAAACTAAGATTGATGTAGCTGTGAGAATTCCTTTCACAAGTAAATAAAATTTAAAAATTAACTTATTATTTCTCTGATCTGCAAATCAACTGCAGAACCAATGGACAGCTTGGAAACTTCATTGGTAACAGAAATACAAAAAAATATTCAACCATTTTAAATTAAATCTTTGAAAAGTGAGAATAATTTAAAAACTTTGAACAATTGGTGCAATTTCACAAGTGTTACTCCACTTAAATGAACAGGCTGAAGATCTCATCATGATCACACTTTATAGAGCATTCCGAGAATGGTCAGGCCATGTTTATTAATATATTCTTCCTATATCTAGATTGCGATTTACAACTTCCACAATCATAACTGGTCCTATTCAGTTAATCATTGCTTAATTACATCTCTGATTCTGATGTCAGATCCCTAGTCGCTCAAGAGGGATGTAAAAAACACCAATGGAGCCTTTTAAGGGTGTCCCACCACCTCGCTCAACTTTTGGACAAAAATTGACAATTTTTAGAATTTCATCTACAATGGGATCATTAAATGAGTGGAGGAGGAACGTAATACCACAGAAGTACTAGTTCTGTTTCGCTATTCCAAGATGGAAGCCAGTTTTGAGATCACTGATGACATGCTACACCTAGATTCCTAATTGTGTTCGAAAGAATATGGAATCGACAGATCCCTAACTTTGAATAGTATATAACAGATAAAATATAGTACAGAGAAAATTTTAATATGTGCAAAATTCATAGCTTTGAAATTATTACTTGAAGTTAATAATCTGAATAATATTAAAAAGATATTATAAAATCAGAATTCTGCAAATTGTATTACTTTAATATTTAAACTATAATAATTGAGTAAACATTTTTCACTTAAAATAGCGGGTAATTGACTATCAGTAGTTGAGGATTGTCGGCTCCGTTATCTTTCAACACATTTCGGAATCAATGAATAGCATGCATGCTCTGACTGATCTTAAACCAGCCAGCATCCTGGAGTAGCAAAACAGAACTAGAACCTTGGTGTTAATAAATCATAAGTCCTGGTTGATATTTTATTATTTAAATTTAAATTTCCAATTATAGGAATTAATTATGTCTTATAGAAAGATACTACCCAACATAGAATTTTAAGCAATGAATCTTCCAGTCATAATTAACCTCAAAGATAACAGATAACTTCAAAAACAAATATGAAATAAAAAGTTATGATAATAAGGAAAGGGTGGTTATTAATATAAATAATAAAAAAAAGCGTCATGGGGTAGTTATTACAAACTATAGAACTGTATGAAGTATTTTCATACCGACTTCTTCCATTATTTCTAATCAATCATAAACAATTTAAATGATTTGACAGCACAAGGTTGTAAACAAGGATTGATTGTCATCCAAAGAGATACATACTAGAGAAGTTCCCTCAGTTATTAATATCATGTGTTATTTCTTTTCTTGTTAATAACCAAGATGCAGTAGTGATTGAGATAACAATCACTTAATGAAATTAATCCTTTATCAACCATGATAATTAGGAGAAAAATGATAAAAACAAATTATACCAGACTGTAATATATTAGTTTGGGAAACAAATCCTTTTGGTTTTTCAGGGTGAAAGAAAACTCAATGTATTATAGACATAAAACTTATTTTAATCTACAATATATTGACCATTATTTCATATGAATTTTCCCCATCTTTCCACTAACTGCATATTACTATGTTAATAGAATGTCTGGAGTTTATTGTTAAAAAACTGATCCAAGTGGTTTTTGATGTCCTCTTCTTTTTGGAATTTCTTTCAAATTCATCCCTCCAATCACATATCACAAATTTTGAAGAATGGTGTCATAACTGAAGAATAAAAATCAATTCCAATAAATCCCATCAAATTACCTTTACCCTTCGTCGTAAACCCACAACTTCTTGCCTCAAAATATACAATGATATTCCACTTGTTCCTGTTGAACAAATCCGCTACCTAGGACTCCACTTGGATAAACGTTTCACTTGGAATCTCCATACTAGACTGAAACGACAAGAAACTGCTCGACGTTTTCGACTGCTCCAACACTTACTAGACAAACGCTCTAAACTTTCAATTAATTACAAAAGACCCATCTACTTAACCATAATAAGATCTATATGGACATAAGGAATCGAGCTTTGGGGTTCTACCAAACCACCGAGTTCCTATCGTATCCAATCCTTACAATAAAAAAAAATCCTTCGTAAAATCCTTAATGTCCCATATTTTATCACAAATAAAACCATTCATAAAGACCTTAATGCTCCATATGTCGCTGATTTAGCCAGAGCCAGATACCTATCCTTTCATGATAAACTCGAATCCCATCCAAATCCACTTGTTTTCAGCCTTGCTTCCAGTGGAGGGTGATTCCAGGAAAGGGTTTGATCTATGAGAAAGCCTAAATTTTTAACAAAGGGATAGAAGGTGAGGGAGTGGTTGTTTAGATAGAGTGAGGGAAAGTTGGTGTGGGATCTAAGGAGGGGCTTGGAACCAATGAGAATGGCCTGAGTTTTGGCAGCATTTAGCCTTAATCCATTTGGCATATATATATATATATATATTTCGCAAAAACGTTTGAAAGCCCCAGATAACTCAGGTAGGCCATATTTGGCCTAGAAACCGCAGATTTCCCATCAATGCTCTAAATATAATATACAAATATGCTTTTGAACAAAAAATATATATTTCTCAGTCCAACTCTTTATATAAAATCAACACTATTTCAATAATATTCAAAGAGTTTTATTTTATTTTAAAATGGTATCGGTTAATTTAAGTGACGTCAATATTATCTTTACATTGCACCCCAAGTTTCTCTGTTGTTCTTTAAATAACTAACCAACCTTTTACAACTTACCACAATTTCCAATTATTCTGACCTCTTTGGTTGGGCGGGAAAGGAAAATCAAATCTTGGGAATTTATAACCTTATCACTGTTGTTTTATGATCTTTCAAGACACATTTGCTGTTGATAAGCAATGGAAGAAGTTGGTAAGACAATAAGTTATATTATATTTTGCTGTTTTCCAATAACCGCCTTTAACTTCTATTATCAGGTCTGAATTATGAATACTATAGTTTATTTTAATAAACAATCTAGTTTAGGACATTAGTCTTGGATGGTACCCTGTTGCATTATCAGAATAATGTTAGCATATGAAATAATTCTTTGAATAAAGTCGTATTAGCGGTATTTTGATATGTGTATGTATAATTTATTAACATACTTTTTAATCCTGTTTTGTGTCAATGCTATAGTTGATCTTTTGTTTGTTTCCCATTTTGAATAATTATTTAAAACTTGAACAAAAAGTAAGTATCTGTCGAGTCGTTAGGAAGATTTTCTTGACCAATAAGTGGTTGATAACTATATCTTTTTTTTCCAATTGTCTACCTATCTCGAGTGGTAAAACTTGGCTTTCCTTTCCCTATCTTTTGTTGAATGTATTGTAATTTTATCTGCGTTTTTCTTTTGAGAAAACATCTTTATCGATTCTAGAAAATGCAGTTAACTTTGTCTTGAGAGACTGAGAGTTAATGTATAACTGTATAAATATACTGTGTTACATTGGGTTTGACAGATGTGCCAAGATGACATTATCACTCTGTTCTTGGATTGTCCAAGATAGCCGAGTACATTAGTTTTTTTCAAGTTCGGTTAAGTTACATTTCTTGTGCAAACAAGTGGTCCTCCTCACTGTCAGCTGATGCGATACAGCTAATGTAAAATATTATACCACAAAATTTTCTGTTTTTTTTTTTACTATAGTTTTTGCAATGGTTGAATGATGTTAGATCATTTTGGAAGGTGGTTATCAGAGCCTAGATTTTTATGGAGTAAAAACCAGCAAAAGATGCCATGTAATATGCTATAGAAACTAGGACGATTGCTGCAAAATATACTTTAAAAAGACATAAAATACGCAGCTAAAAATCTCCATATATGCAACAAGAAAGCTTAAGTATTGAAATATACTATTGTGCCTACAAACAGATTTGAAGTAAAGATGAAATCAGAGAAATGATTTAAAATTAAATGAAAATGATTAATGGATGATAAAATTAAATATACACAGTCATTATAAAGTTTTTATTTGTGCCAATGTTTCAATGAAAATGATTAATTTTTTTTGCAACTTTTTTTTTATAAATCTTTAAAAGCATAAACCGCTTTGAAACAAAGCTGGGCACACTGGAAGGTACAGATCCTACATCTCATCCTCCTGACACAGAGGACTTTCCACGACCCTGATCCTATGCAAATGCCTTTACAGGTAATCATGTCTACTCATCATGCGGAAAACACGCTTTCGTTACTTTTTCATTCAACAAATAAAATGAAAAAAATCATGTGTGAATGGTTAAAATCATGATATTAAATACTGAAATATCAACGTAATACAAACTTATGAATAGTAATAAATTAATATCAGTAATAGGTAATTGTATATAAAAAGGACTTTTTTTTATTTGATTGAAACAATTAATACATGCAATTGATTATCAAAAATGCAAAAATATTCAATATAAAATTTGTCTGATTGCATCTAAGTATATGGATTCATACAGATATTTTATCAGCAGTTTCAAAACAGCATGCAAACATGCATATGTAATTGCATAAAAATACGGACTCTGTTAGTGACATTTTAGTTGAAGTATTACTGATTGTATGCAATCCAGTTCCGAATTAAAGATTCTTCATCTTGATGATATTTTTAATATCATATATTTACTAGGCTTAATGAAAACCAAATGCCTAGTATTGATGGACAATTCTTTTTTTTTTTTCCAGATAACACAATTGTCATTAAACAAGAAGAAAAGCCACACATTTATTATGGTGAGTCCAAATTTACATTATATTACTTTTTTTATCTTAAAGGGTCAAGTGGGTAGTGACATTTCTTAAGTTGTGAGAAAAATGAATTGAAATCCTCTTCATTCACTATAAGGCAGACATATATAATAAATTTTAACTCAGTTATGAATGAAATATTTAATTTTACTGAATGAAAGGAGGAGTTATTAAATATATTACTTTATGCTTTTATCCTCAACAATAATTAAATTTGTTTTCTAATTCATTTATCATCCTTGTCTACTTTACCAATTGTTATTCCGTGGTACAGACCCCTTTTTATCAACTTATTAACAACCACCTGAAACTTCGTAAATATCTTTATCTAATTGTATCCTACAAATATTTTATTTATGAAAATTCTTGGAATTAGGGCGTTTTCAATCTGATGATCGTCAAACTTTGTTCATTTAATTAGGTACTAAAATCTCGTAAATGCCCATTTGCTTTCCACTTTAATCGTAAGATAATTTGGCCACAAACTCAAGAAAACTGGTGGCCTTAAAAAATATTGAGCCGTTTGGCGTGACACCCCCAAATTGTCAAAATAACGAGGTATTACAGGCCAAACTTCCCTATATTTTTGTAGGTCACCTTACTTCTCAATTTTGTGATCAAATTATCTTACAATCCAAGTGGAAAGCAAATGGGTATATACGAGTTTTTAGTACCTAATTAAATAAACAAAGTTTGACGATCTCCAGATTGAAAACGCCCTGAAAATTCAAAGAGTTTTCGTAAATAAAATATTTGTATGTTACGATGAGATAAATCTATTTACGAAGTTTCAGGTGGATATTAATAATTTAATGAAAAGGGTTCTGTACCATGGACTATATATATCAATCAATCAATTGTAATAATATTTTTTTATCATCATTTAATGAATTGAATGTTTTTTTTATGAATTCATTATATTTTTGTTGAGATGTTTCTTTTGATTGTAGTGTTTAATTATTTGTTGTATCTCTGCAGGTGAGCTTATCCATGTAAAACAAGAAGAAGAAACGCTTATCCCTGATGATGGTGAGAAACATTCGTTCTATTAGTCTTTGAGTGAGCATGTTAGTCTAATAAATTGTTTTAAAGATTAATTTATATGAAATTAGGTTTCTTTTCTTTTACAAGCTTATAGTAAAACAATTTTGCTATTGTACGCTATAAATATTAACTAACACAGGTCATTCCATAACATTCTAAACCAGGCACTCTCGCCTCTATGTCCTCTAAATTTATAACTATATAAGTGATTTTATGAATATAATGTAATGTAAACATGTTATTTATTGTCATTTTATTGCAAAAAGTTATTAAGTATATTTTTGGCGAAGCTAAACTTTTAAATATGTTTTTATGAATTTTGATCTTATTTATTAACAAAAGAACAGCAAGTATATCAAACCCGATTAAATATAAAAAATAATTACATTAAGAGGAAATGTTCTAGTTTCACTGTGAATAAAACCATCAAAGTACTCAGTAATATAATTTTTTAA